ATACTTAACCTGTATAAACAAAAAAAAAAAAAAAAACCCTTGCCATTGAGCAGATTCCAACTCATAGTGATCTTATAAGACAGAATAGAACTGCCCACAGAGTGTCCAAGGTTGTAATCTTTATGAAAGCAGCCTGCCACATCTTTCCCCCACAGAGCAGCTGATGTGTTAGCAGAAAAGTTCTTAACACTGAGCCACTACGGCTCCTATCAGTATGTAAAATGATGTTAATAGCATATATTTGGCTGGGTTTTATGATAATTGAATGAGATAATGTAATTGATAGCTTTTCACAATACATTCACAATGCCTCAAATAGACTGTTGAGTTAATTTCCCCTCTTTAACTTTTACCTAAATAACAAATTTCAGAATATCTATTGTAATTATATTTGGTATATTTTTTTGGTTCATCTTTTGTTTACTGCTTCAGTATGGTTTTTAATATGGTATGTTCTCCAAACCCAACACTTTGTTTGTATCCAACTGTTGGATCAACATCAGTAAACAGTAGTTACAGAATGACTTATTCAAAATGTCAAATTATACCTGACCAACATAGCCATTGTTTAAGTGATACAGTTTACTGAAAGAAATCAAGTATGCCAAACATACTCAATTTATCAGGATGCAGCAGTCAGTAGTAGTAAATTTTTAGGGAAATAAAAAATAATTTCTCACATTAAAGAAAGATTTTGTTTGTTTGTTTGTTAATCAAGTTTTTCTTTGTGAGCATCAGATGGGAAGCATTATTGTCGATATATACTTTTTGATATACATATACAATAACTGTGAGAAGCTGAGGACAATGACCCCTATTTATAGACAAGAAAAAGGAAATCGAGACCCATAAGACTTTGTGATAACTTGATCAACCTAGATTGGCCAAAACATCTGCTTATTTTGATGATGTTTCTCTAAAGTAGTGTGTTGTTATACTAACTATATAAGACTGCTTTATTCAAAATAATTAGTGAAAGGTTTGTAAGTGTCAATAGTCAGATTATAATAATTATGTAATAAGACTTTGAAGGTTTCCTCTGGGCTTGGAAGCCATTCTTCCCACAGTAGACTACATGAAAGATAGAGAATTTCCTTTCTAATCTTTTGGACATTCATAGGGGTATTATGCAAATGTATGCAAAGAATTAAATCTTCTTTCTCTCTCTCATTTTGCTCTCACAGATTAGTACTGTACTGGAAGCATCTAGTGCTTACCAAGCCAGACTTCTCCCAACTAAAGATGAAAATGTTTGCATATGTGGAAGTGAGAGAAAATCCTACGCTTGGCTGGTTACTCCCCATACACTGGGTAAAATTTTCAGTTCCTGTATGCTTTCATGTTCGTTTATAAATCCTCTTAAGAGTTTATGTCAGACTACATCTCTATTACAGCCAGTTTACTCATTGCTTAGTACCACCAAGGAGCTCTGATGGCACAGTGGTTACAGCATTTGGCTGCTAACCGAAAAGTTAGGGGTTCTAACCCATCAGCTGCTCTGTGGGAGAAAGATGAGGCACTTTGCTTCTATAAAGATTTACAGCCTTAGAAACCCTATGGGGCAGTTCTACTCTGTCTTATAGGGTTGCTATGAGTCAGAATCGACTCAATGGCCATGGATTTTGGTTTTGGTTTTTAGTACCACCAAGTGTCCATTTTTCTATTCCTGTTGTTAGCTTCTGTCAAGTTGGCCCCTGACTCATAGTGACCCCATGCACAATGGAAGAAACACTGCCTGGTCTTACTCCACCCTATGACAGTTTGCAGATCAGACCACTGTCATCCATAAGGTTTTCATCAGTTGATTTGGGGAAGCAGATCATCAGACCTTTCTTCCTAGTCTGTCTTAGTTGAGTGGAAGTTTTGATGAAACCTGCTCAGCATCATAGGGATACACAAGCCTCCACTGACAAATACGTGTTAGCCGCATGAGGTGCACTGGCGAGGAATCAAACCCTGATACCCTGCAGGGAAAGAGAGAACTCTACAACTGAACACCACTGCCCTGTTTTACCAGGACCAATGTGCCTGAGGACAAGGGTGGGGAATTGCAGTCAAGTCCCGACTTTAAGAGCTCATATTTTCCATGTCTCTCTTTTCTTGCTTCTGTAAAATTTCTATCTCAACCTCTTGGAATCTCTTTCATCAATCAGCAGTAAGCCATTGTAACTCTGTCATTGACATTTCCTGTCTTTTAAGGTACTGTCAACCTCACTGTCACTGCTGAAACCCTGCAGAGCAGTACTTGTGGAAATGGGTCATTCCTGGCTCTGAATAATGGCTGGAGGGATATACTGATCAAATCATTGCTGGTAGAGGTATGGCCTCAAAGTGAAGTCTATGGGCCTTGAGGGAAAATATCTGTCCGTATTTCAAAATTTTGATCTCAATTAGGAAGGATAAGTATTCCTTTCAGATCTCACAGATATAGCAGGAATGAATACTTATCCAAAGAGACTGCCCAATATATCAACCAAATATTTGGGAAGAAAGATCAGGGGCAGACATTTAGTCCTGAGACATTCAGTCTGCAGAGAACATTTACAAGTAAATGTACAATATCCTTGAAAGAGAAACATAATTTTGAAGCTTTAAGATTTTTGAGAAAATTCTTGCCTTTAATTTTAGAAACACTTAGTTTATTTTGTATCATGCAAAATCAAATGATTCACTTTTCTATTCTCTTGGGCTTAAAAGTTCATATACTCATTATCTGGGATAATTTTTGAAGATAATTTCTTCTTTTTAGATGTCGTGTTGTTGTTGTTATGTGCCGTCGAATCAGACCTGAATCATAGCCACCCCTCCTTGGGTTTCCGAGGCGACATCACTACCGAAGTAGATTGCCCAACCTTCCTTTCGAGGAGTGGCTGGTGGGTTTGAACCACCAGCCTTCTGGTTAGCAGTCAAGTACCTTAGGCACTATGCTACCAGAGCTCCTATTATTACTAATTTATGAATATTATGGATTTACATAATATATTAATTTGATATTCCATGACCCCCTCTTTTCCTCTTCCAAATATTAGCCCGAAGGTATTGAAAAGGAGATGACGCAGGGCTCACTTATTTGCACAAATGGTAAGTAAACACTTTTACCTGGTCTTGTTAACATGGCAACATTGATTGCAACCTCTGTTTATCTTTGTTTGGGAATTAACTGCTTTACTATTGATCATCTCTGAACACAGCTACTAGGAAAGATTACTTTCAAGTAATACAATTTAATTGTGCTACAAGGAAAAGCAATTTAAAAACTTTAAGGTTCTTCTTATAACCTACTCCCCAATTCAGAATACAAAGTGTCCTCAACTTTCATTCAAGACTTGTCTCTACCCTTAAGCTTCGCCTTAGTCAATCCTTGATTTCTTCATTAAAAGTTATCATAATCCCAGAGGTCATCTTTCGACCAAATAAGAGATTGGTCTATAAAATAAAAATAACACCCCTGAGGAATATGCTCCCTTAAACAATTAAATATACCAGCTGAACAGTCAACATTTTCCCAAAAGCAAAGATGAGAAGGCAAGGGTGGGCAGGAAGACTGGATGGATGGAAACGGGGCAGGCTGGGTGGAAATGGTGAGAGTGTGGACACATTGAAGGGATGGTAACCAATGTCATGGAACAATTTCTGTATGAATTGTTGAATTGTAAACTTTTGCCTATAGCACAATAAAATATTCAAATAAATAAATAAAAAGACTGCCAAAAAAGTGAAAAGACAAGCTACCAACTTGGAGAATATCTTCAGAAAACACATATCCAATGAGAATCTCATAACCAAAATATATCTAAAACTTGAACAGCTTAACAACAAAAAGGCAACCAATCATAAAATGATCAAAGGACTTGAATAGACATTTCACCAAAGAGGACATTCAAATGGACACCAAACACATGAAAAATTGCTCAACACATTAGCCATCAGAGAAATGCACATCAAAACCACAATAAGACACCATTTCATCCCCATGAGGATGAGTCAGAATTGACTCAGTGGCAGTGGGTTTGGTTTGATTTCAGTGTAAGGTGGCTAAGATTAAAACAAAACAACAACAACAACAACAGAAGAATGGAAAACAAGAAATGTTGGCAAGGATGTGGTAAATTGGCACCCTTACCCAATGCTGATGGGAATGAAAAACAGTTCAGCCATTGTGAAAAACAGTGTGGCAGTTGCTCAAAAAACTAAAAATAGAGCTACAATATGACTCTTCAATTCCACTTCTAGTATATACCCCAAAGACTTGAAACCAGAGACTCAGCACTTGAACACCCAATGTTCATTGCAGCACTACTCACAAATGTTTATTATGATTATAAAAATTCTGTCAAAAGATGCTAACCAAAGAATTATCTCTACTTATGTCATTTCAATCTCTCGTTGCAAAATCAATGTTAGCTCTGAACTAATAAATTCACTTTAATGGATATAGACAACAGAGGCAAACTATTACACGTACAATATTGCATTACCACTGGCACCAAACATCAGGTTACAGGTAAATGCACAGACAAGTGAGAAGATCAGTGGGGATAGGCAAACAGAAATATACCCTAGACCAAGGATAGATTTGGCTGAAGATAATCTTATACATGCACTTGTGCTACAAAATCATCCACATACATTACAGAAGCAACAGAAGACAGGGTTGGAACAGCTTTTCAGAGATAACTGAACACTTTGAGAGGAAGAATCACTGGGCCTGGGGGCTTGGGACCATAGTCTCAGGGGACATAATGCTCAATTGGCACAACACAGTACACAAAAATCTTGTTCTACAACTTACTTTGGTGAGTAGTGACTGGGGTCTTAAAAACTTTTGAGCGGCCATCTAAGATGCAACTATTGGTCTTCTTTCATCTGGAGCAAAGAAGAGTGAAGAAAATCAAAGTCATTGGAAAGAGTCCAAAGATAAAATGGACCACGAGGACCTCAGCCTTCATGACCCTGAGACCAGAAGAATTAGATGATGCCTGGCTACCAATGCCAATGGCTCAGAAAGGGATCAAAACTCAACACCCTGGATAGAATAGGAGGGAAAATGTGAAACATAATTCAAAAACACAAAAATGAACAGAATTAGTGGTTGGACAGAGACTTGTGGAACTCCCAAGACTAAGGGCTGGGTAACCTTTTGGGCCTAGAAATGGATTCACTTCGATGGATTGTATCTCAGCCCAACAACAGAGAGACCTACACACAGAACACCTACCCCAAGGTGATGCATCAACCTACTCTAGGGCGATGTACCCCTTAAATCAATCAGCCATGAGACCCCAAAGGAGCAGCATTCACATAGAAGGAAAGCTGGACAGACAGGAATGGATAAGTAAGAAGGCCACAGGGAGGTGGGGCAGTTACAGGGAGAGAAGGGAAGGAGAGTTTTTTATGGTTGGGGATGGTAATCAGGGTGTGAAATCAAATGTGCATGAACTGTTGAATGTAAAACAAATCTGCTTTGTAAATTTCCACCAAAAGCATAATTAAAAAAAAAAAAATCACTTAACTGTTTCCTAGGATCCACAGTATCTCAATCAGTGGTGCTACCATCACCAGAAAATCTTGTGAAAGATTCATCTAGAGCTTATTGGTCTGTTCTTGGTAAGTCTGGAATACAATACATTATTGGGGATTTATATAAGCTTGTTGTTGTTGTTGTTATGTGCAGTGGAGTCAGACCAACTCATAGCGACCCCTCCTTGGGTTTTCAAGGCGGTATCACTATGGAAGTAGGTTGCCCAACATTCCTTTCGAAGAGTGGCTGGTGGGTTTGAACCGCCAGCCTTCTGGTTAGCAGTCAAGTGCCTTAGGCACTACGCTAATGTCTTAGTGGAAAAGCGTTCAACTGCTGACAGAAAGGTCAGCAGTTCAAACCCACCAGCCACTCTGCAAGAGAAAGATGTTGTAGTCTATTTCTGTAAAAATTTACAGCCTTAGAAACCTGTGAGGCAGTTCTACTCTATCCTTTAGAATCACTATGAGTCATAATCAACATGACAGTAGGCAACAAAGACAGCATATATAGGCTTAGAGGAAAAAGAAAACTACACTTTTTCTGCCGTGGTCCTGTCTGTTGGTTTTGTCATATTTTGAGTTGTATCTTCACCCTCAGAACTTGATGATGGAGGTCAGGGCATTTGACTAGACAGTCTATCACACTGAGAAATTAACTCCTAGATCTTCCAAGGCTTTCTGATTCTCTCTTTTCCTAGAGAACATTTTAGTTCTGGCCCATAAAAATTAAGTCCCATCATTAGCCCTCTTGACGGGTGTCTCATTCAGGATACCTCTGTAAAGGCAAGTCCTGCCATTTCTCACAAACTAATGATTGTCAGAGCATAGTATCATCAACAAGTATCTTAGGCTTCTCTGGAGAAGCAAAACCAGTAATGCTTATAGAGAGAGAGAGGGAGGGGGGTGCTCTGGTACCGTACATAGTGCCTAAGGCATTTGACTGGTAACCAGAAGGCTGGCAGTTCAAACCCACCAGCCACTCCTTGGAAGGAAGATTGGGCCATCTATTTCCATAGGGATACCACCTTAGAAACCCAAGGAGGGGTCACTATGGGTGAGGTTCAACTCAATGGCAGTGAGTTTGGTCTTTTACTGTTTCAGAGAGAGAGAGAGAGTGAGAGAGAGAGAGAGCGAGAAAGAGAGAGAGAGGTTTATCTCAGGGAAATGGCTTACACAGTTGTAGAAGTTGGCAAGTCCCAAGTTTGTGAGTCAAATGTCAAGCTGGAGGCTTTTCTTGACTCCTGCAGCTGCTGGCTGATGAGGCTGATGAACTCAAGGTCTGCAGGTAAAATGGCACAATCCCAAGATCAAAAAGCAACACAGCAGGCTGCTAGTTCAAATCCAGGAACAATCCCAAGAAAACCAGAAAACTGCTTTGTTAGCCTACTTAATATTAAAATTTAATTACTTACGTGATTTACTTCTATCTTTTATTATTATTATTATTATTATTATTATTATTATTATTATTATTTAGATCCTTGACTGTTCAGTCACTATCCACAAGCTATAGTCTAGGGTAAAGATTTAAGATGGAGATGTAAAGAATACAGTAGAAAGGATTCTGCATTCCATGTAAGATTATAGTCAAATTATTACAATACTGTTGTAGTAGGAAAATGTGACTCAAACAAATGCTTATTAAATGTAACAACAAAAACTCTATCAAGGACATTCCCTAGGACCAAGACAAAGAACATGTAAGTTTAATCTTAGCTTTCAAGAAATTAATCCCATCCATATAGTGTCAAAATGATGTCCAGCAAATATATATGTCATATATACTACAGAGTCATATTTATGACAATCATCCTAAACTCTTATTATCTTGTGATTTTATTTCCAAATGGTTCACTTTCCATCCAGACCATAGAGATTCTTTACAGGGGAATCATGTTGTTGTTAACATGCATGTTATTGTTAGCATGCCATGAGTCAATTCCAACTCATAGCAACCCTGTAGAACAGGGTAGAACTGCCCCCATAGGGTTTCCTAGGCTGTAATCTTTACTGGAGCAGATCACCATATCTCCTATGGGGATGGTGGTGGGTTCAAACAACCAACCTTTTGGTTGGCAGCTGAGCACTCAACCGTTGCACTGAAACCACTAAGCATCGTGGCTAAGAAACCTGACTCTACACACAGGTTGCCCAAGTTCAAATCCCAGATTCACCACTTGCTGTATCATTTTGGGCAAGTTGCTTAACCTTTCTGTGCCTTATTTCCTCATCCTAAATTAAGATAATAATAGTACTTAGCTAATAGGTTTGTTATAAAAATTAAAGGAATTAAGATGCTTATACCACTTTCAAATACATGTTGTTGTTGTTGTTATGTGCCGTCGAGTTGGACTCGACTCATAGCGACCCCTCCTTGGGTTTCTGAGGCAGTGTCACTACAGAAGTAGATTGCCCCATCTTCCTTCTGAGGAGTGGCTGGTGGGTTTGAACTACCAGCCTTCTGGTTAGCAGTCAAGTGCCTTAGGCACTATATAGGGAGTTCTATATAAGTTTTATGCATCAGTAAAGTGTGTGTATGGAAAAGATTAAGTCCAGGTACTGTGAAGCCATATCATTTTTGCTCATTCCTGACTCTGTCACATCTATTTTGGATGATTTGGGATATTTATTTACCTCTCTGTGCCATGGCTTTCTCATGTATAAAACGTTGTTGTTGTTATGTGCCATTGAGTCGTCTCTGACTCATAGTGACCTCTCCTTGGGATTCAGAGGCGGTATCTTTATGGAAGCAGATTGCCTAATCTTCTTCTCAAGGAGTGGCTGGTGGGTTTAAACCACCAACCTTCTGGTTAGTAGTCAAGTGCCTTAGGTACTACACCACCAGAGCTCTCATGTATAAAACAGAAATTTTAATAATATCTACTCACATTATTGCTATTGAATGACTACAGTGTTCAGTACATGGTAAGCATTTCAAAAAGGTTTATTTGGGGCCCTAATTCTGCCCTTTCAAACTGACAATTGACCTTGAGTTCTCTTGCTTCATCCTGGGATCTCTCCAGGAATCTTGATTCCCACAAACTTTTTGGCCCTTCTACTCTTGGATGCTTTGAGAAACATATCTCCACCTTAGTTCTGGAAGCAAAGTCTGACATGTGTTGCTAATTTGATGGTTTGGGGCCAACAATTAAGAGCGAAAAGAAGATTCAGATAATATAGAAAAAGAATTATTTTGAATATCCATAGCATAGAGGTCTTGTTGTTGTTGTTGTTGTTATGTGCCGTCGAGTCGGCCCGACTCATAGCGACCCCTCCTTGGGTTTCCAAGGCAGTATCACTACGGAAGTAGGA